AAGGTGTGCTCAAACCTTTCAATAGAATGGCAGAAAGACAATGCTCCCTTTAAACCCTTTCTCAAAGAAATACTTTAAATAAATACATACATCCACCACCACAAACATCACAAGGTGTCAGCCTGAAGCTCCTCTGTCTTCATTTTACCTACAAATATCTCCTTTAAAAGGACTGATATAAGCTGGGGGGAGGGAAAAAGCCATAGCTGTAAATGCAATTATCTGGATATAATCTTCATTTTTCAATTCTGGAAGCAAACAAGGGAGGGGAATAAAGTCACAGAGCCTTTACAAACATCCACCTGTATCAGATCTGGAAGCAGAGCTTAGCTCAGGCCTGGCACGTATCCCACAGCCAACGGAAACCCTCCTCAAAACTTTGAGGAACAGCAGACACATAGCAATTTACAAATGCTGTTCTACTTACTGGCCCCCAAATGCTGAAGAAGTCAGGCAGAAAAGCAGCACTCAGCAGCTGAACTGGATACAAAGGAGTTGCTGAGTCCTCACGAAGATGAATTTGGAGGTATCAGTGCGTCACAGCCAAAATGCACCCACACAGCCATCAGTCAGAGCTCCACAAAGCAGGACTTTGAAAACAAAGAGACCTACTGCACCATGCAGAGTGTGGCCTCAGCATCAGCTGATGACACAGGTGGGGAGAGTGCAGCTGCACTCAAGGCAGCACATTCCTAGGAGGGAGGGTGGGAACAAATAGCCTCCCCTGAAATCAGGAAGCTCTGTGCTCTCCTTGGCTCCTGGTCCCACTCTTGGGTTGGTGCACCAAGGTACTGGCACTTGGGTGGGATTCTTCTTCTGATGGTCCTACCTGGCCACAGTCTGAGGCTGTGGAGGACACGACACCTTCACTCTAGTGAAGTCTGGAGAAATATTCCATGATATAAAGCCCATGAAAGCACACATTGAATGATTTCACTATTACTCCTGTCACAGCAGCAACAGCAAATAACACCTGACCACACTAATTCCTTTGGAAAAGTTGGACAACTAACAAAATTACTATTTAATCCATTATACACCTAAATATATTATTATATACCTTTAGTACATTATACACCAGCAAACAGGGAGAAGGAGATGGATTGTGGGGATCATGTTCCTCCCCTGAAGGTTCTACATGGGTTTGGTATCTTCATTTTAGAGATATTTCACTCCTTTTCCCGTGACTATACAGTTTGGGGTTTTTTTCTCTTTGCTTTAAAGAAAACAGCCTCAACTGTTTTTTATTTCCAACTATCTTACAGACTAATGTATCTTCACAGAAAAGGCAGAAACAGTCCTTGAGCACACTCACAGTATCCTTTCTGCCTCTGCAAACACTATGCTGCTGCTTTTTAAACTGGAGCTCCTAGCAACAAGAGTAAACCTCTATTCCCCTCAAAATGTGAAAGCAAAAACCTAATTAAGGAATTTTCTATTAACAACAGATGATTTCAAATAATCAGAGACACCAGCACAAGTCGTAGCAACCAACCAAATGTAATTTGAAGCAGAACACAGCCATGATGCTAAATATTTGTGTCATTATTGCTGTTCATAAAACAGAGATGAAAAAAAGTTTGGTTTCACAGCACTAAAGATCACAAGTCCTCAAAAATCATCCAGTTAGTACCATATCATTACAAATTGGCATTTGACAGCTTGACGCTAACCAGAGTGACAGCAGTGCTTAGTAGGAGGAAAAAATTGCCAGAAAGATTAGACACTGAACAAAGTAAATCACATTTCACACATATTCCAGGCCAACATTCAAGAGCACTGTTGGTATTTCCACGAAAGAAAGCTTCCAGTTTGAGAAAGGTTGTAAAGAGAGTCCTTAAGAGATGACTGAGATGAGGTGTCCAGAGTCACATGAAGGAGGAGAAAGCATAACTTGTCTTGCAGGATGTGGGAATGTGCACTGGCAGGAGATCTGACAGCCTGGTCACACACTGCACACTGAGTCAGTGTCCAGCTTTAAAGATGGGAAACATTTGGATCCAGTCTTGGTTTCCTCTTTAGTATCTAAAGAAATATATATGGTTACTAGATATAAAGGTCATAGTGAAGTCACCTCCCCAGTGGGATCAGCCACAGAGCTGAAGTGCCCACAGCATTTACATGTCCCAACACTTCCAGTGCTACAATGGAGCAAAGTTTCCACACTGAGCTGCTGGTTCTGCCAAAGGAGTGAGTCAGAGCATCCTCTAAATACACATCAGAGCCTCAACAGCACATTTTCCTTTCCAGTGACTGCTGACAGCCACTGAAGACAGATCTGTTCCACTGGAGGTATGACAGACCTGTACAGAACAGCCTCTGTTGGATGACTCTTCAAGGAATCATCCTTGAAGCCCTTTGCACAGGTTATAAGTGTTCAATCAACTTGCCAATGCAGAAGCAAATGATACTCCACTGTAGAAGGAATGTTTTGGTTCCTCCACCTCACCTGGCACAGGATCAAAAGAGCAGTCTAGGGCAATGTATTTCTCCCTCTATAAGGAAGAAGGATGTATCCCTTAACAAATATGCCTTAAAATCAGTCTTGCTGAACTGACAACAAAAACCCTCCATTCATCTCCCAGAGCCAGGCTTTCATCCCTCCTGGCCATGAATCATCACAGGACGGCTGACTCACAGAAAAAAATATTTGTTCAAAGGTGGATATTCTCACTCATATCTTCTCTTTCCAAACTTAAGTCCCTTGAAACAAAGGTGCATTTTTCTGCAGCATGCCTCAGATGTTGCAATAAAGTCCCTATCTGGCATCTGTCGCAGCAATTACCATCAGTTGACTTAGTTTCAAGGTGGGGTCATATGGAAAAGAAGACAGGCAAAGCCGATAGAGCAGTAAGTCATATGCAAGGGAGGACAGTTATCCTGACCTGTATTCCTATGTTCATTGCAGCACTGACCTCCTCCCTAAGCATTTCACCTGTTTCAGAGCTGCAGAGCTAACACAGCAAGTGTTTCACCAGGGTGTTGATGCTGAAATCCACACCAGACTCAGTCATCTTCAACCATCAGAACCTTGGGCTTTGCAGCAACTGGTGCACTGATGAAACAGAGCTCTACATGCCAAGGTAGGGAAAAGCCCTTAACTCAGAGAACAGCAGTAAATAATAGGTGTTCATTGCTCCTTAACTTACACATAAGTAAACCCTAAGTGCTTTTTACAAGCTATATTAAAAACAAAGTGACAAAATCCTCAGTCCTCAATAATACAAATCATACATTAAGTTTAACTCCTCAACTCTGAGCCAGTTTGGCTTTCTCTTTCCTGTTTTGACAGCAGTTAAGCTCCCAGCTCTGAAGGTGAGCCTACAAAAACAACTCACCCCACAGCACGAGGCTATGTCTCTAGTGCACCTGATATGCTGTGGCAATCACTCATACCAACCTTCCACCTCCTCCCCAGGAAACACACCAAACTGTGCCCCACTTTACAGGGAGAGCACTGGAACACTCGCTAGAGGGTGAGAGTACACACTTCCAGAGCTACCAGTGCCATCAATCGATTCTCATTTGCTTTAGGGTGGTGAGACATTGGCACAGGTTGCCCAGGGAGGCTGTGGCTGCCCCAACCCTGGCAGTGTTCAAAGCCAGGTTGGCTAAAGCCTTGAGCAACCTGTTCTGGTGGGAGGTGTCCCTGCCCAGGGCAGGGGGTTGGCACTGGATGATCTCTAAGGTCCATTCCAACCCCCGAACAATCTATGTATCTATGAACTTGTTCACACAGACATTCCCTTGGGGGTAAGGAAGGAGTTTTCAGCTGATTTGCTGCTTTTCAGACATTTCTCATCAGTTATCTCCAGTTTTCCTTTTTCTGCCACACTGCAGAGCTCTAAGATCCTTTCCAGCTTTCAGTAATAAGTGAACCTGCTTTAAGTGCGGTTGATTTAAAAGATCACCAGTCCTTATATCAATTAATCTCTTGAAAACCAGCTGCACTTCAAAAACAAAGCGGCACATCAGACATCTAAGGCGTATAAAAGTGGCACCAAGTTTGGTGCCTTAAAGCTAGCAGAAGTCAAGTGTTGGCCAGATAATTTACACAGTCCAAAATCTGCCAGGAGTTAGGGTTAGCAACAGTCCCAATCCAAGCAGGAGGCTGGAGACATAAGGAGGTCCCTTCTAACCAGAGCTGCTAGGAAAGCTGTCAGCACCTGGATAGATGTTCAGAGCCATAGCAGAGCCTAACCTGAATGACTTAGCCCAAAGCTTTAACATCAGAAGTGGATGGTGTTAGTGAAAGAACATGCCAGATGAGTTAGAGAACAACTGCTCCCACAGCACCTTAGAGGAAGAGTGGCTACTTCCCACTCTCTCACTTTCCTCTCTTTTTCACTACTTCTTTTTAAAGATAATTTACTTACCCAGGAGGCTAACTTGCTATGCAGGATACGTTGATGATGACTTTAAGACTTCTAACTCCTTGCCCCTTTTCAGGCAGGTAATGCATGCAGGAACACTGCAACTCCTCGTGCTTTAAAATGCCCCAAAAAGAGATGGTGCTGTCCAGGCAGAAGCTGTGCAGCTCTGGAGAAGGACTATGTACCCTCTCCCTTCCAGAAGCTCAGCAAAAGAACCAAAAAAAAGCTCATAGATTTGTAGGATTTCATGCCTGCCACAGGGAAAGAACAGCCAGCAAGCAACACAGGCAGTGCAAAGCAATACTGAATCAGTCCAGCCACCCCCAGCTCTTAAACCCATCTCTGGCACATTCATAAAAAGAATGACCAATGAAATTAGCTTATTTGTACATCTAAACACACAGGTACTTGTGTCTTGCATCACTTATTTGTTACAAATGCTCAGCAACTTCCCTATTACAGCATTTGTTTTTGTAGTTCTGCTTATGCAAGAGAGAATCAGTGCTGAGACATCCCACCACATCTGCAAGTTCAGAAAGTCAACACAGCAGCAGCAAATCATCCAAAGTGCTTGATCACATCATCTGTGGAACTGAACTGAGGTCAGTGTGCAGCACATCCACTCCCTCAAAGTTCATCCACAGCAGTAGCATTCAGTTTGGGCAATTCACACTCCTCTTGGAAGTGGCAGTTTTCCAGGATGTCCTTGTAGTAGTCCTTTAAGTCGGCATAGGTAGAGATGGTTTCATTGGAATGCTGGAACAACATCAGCTGTTCATTAAGCAGCATCTGCACTTGGTACTCCTCCTTGGAGGTGTTCCCTTGGTCACAGTGGTAGAGCACAAACACAAGGTTGGCTGCGTAAGGCACGATGCGGCCGCTGCGGAATTTCCGGTGCTCCTGCTTGGCGTAGTTGTTGGCCATGAGAGGTTCAGCATCTTTGAAGTAACCCATCAGGGCAAGCAGTGGCTGAAGAGTCTCTGCATGCCCAACTTGGACAATCAGAGGTGAAGAAATGGGTTTCGAACTAAAAAAGAACAAGCAGAAGGGATGAGCCTATGCCAGAAAACAAACAGACCAACACACTGCACAGCTGGCACCAACCAAGGCTGAAAGAGATTTTGAACTCATTTTACTTTTTTACATTTTTGAGATTCAGAGTAGATGTTAGGAAAATATTTTTCCTGTGAGAGTGTTCAGGCTCTGGAATATTGCCCAGGGAGGTGGTGGAGTCACCATCCCTGGAGGTGTTCAAGAGGCATCTGGATGTGGAACTGGAGGGTATGGTTTAGGGTTTAGAGCAGTGACAAGGGTTGGACTTGATCTCAGAAGTCTCCTCCAACTTTGATGATTCTATGATTCTACTTCTGCTAAAAATGTGTTTGGGAATTTCAGGATATTACAGACTTTTTTTTAATGCAGCTTCCTAAATTTTGGTCCAATTTAAGGAATTGAATCTTACATAAACTGCAAGAAGTGTCTCCTCAGTAAGTTCACATAGCAGTGACAAGGGTTGGACTTGATCTCAGAAGTCTCCTCCAACTTTGATGATTCTATGATTCTACTTCTGCTAAAAATGTGTTTGGGAATTTCAGGATATTACAGACTTTTTTTTAATGCAGCTTCCTAAATTTTGGTCCAATTTAAGGAATTGAATCTTACATAAACTGCAAGAAGTGTCTCCTCAGTAAGTTCACATACAACACTTAGTTGGGTGGGCTCTCTGGAGGGGAGGGCAGGAAGCTCTGCAGAGGGATCAGGCTGGATCCATGGGCCAAGGCCAATGGTGTGAGGATCAACAAGGCCAAGTGTTGGGTCCTGCCCTTGGGTCACACCAACCCCTGCAGAGCTCCAGGCTGGGGCAGAGTGGCTGGAAAGATGGGAAACACCCTGGGGGTGTTGGTGACAGTGGTTGGACGTGAGTCCAGGTGTGCCCAGGTGGGCAGAAAGACCAGGGGCATCCTGGCTTGGATCAGCATAACTGTGGCAGTAGGACCAGGGCAGTGACTGTCCCTCTGTGCTGGCACTGCTGAGGCACCTCCAGTGCTGTGTCCAGTTCTGGGCCCTCAGTGCTAGAGAGACATTGAGGGGCTGAGAGTGTCCAGAGAAAGGAACGGAGATGGGGAAGGGGCTGGAGAGTCAGTCATGGGAGGAGAGGCTGAGAGAACTAGGGGGGTTCAGCCTAGAGAAAAGGAGGCTCAGGGGAACCTTCTCTCTCTCCACAACTCCCTGACAGGAGGTGCAGCCAGGCAGGGGTTCGTCCTGGCACACCATCATCAGTGCAGGATCTTAAGGAGTATTTCTGCCCTTCCTCTACAACCACCAATGCTTTGAACTGCATATTGTGCTAGACAAAGAATTGTAATTTGATAGCAAAATATTGCCCTTTTTTTCCCCTACATAACACTTCAGCTGTTTGGGAGGTACATCAGCACCTACCAAATTTAGTCTGAAGACACTGATCCATTCATTCGAGGAAAAGAGTGGTCTGGTCCCTCCCCAATTTATTAGTCCAAATTTTAAGTAGGACTACTGGCACTAGGAGTTCTTTAGGAGACCAACTACTCCCAAAGGAGGTGATACTCCCTCTGCACACAGGAGAGCAAACTAATCCACTTATTCACACCATGAATGAAGTCTAAAGCAAAGCCAGTTTGTGCAGCAAAGGGTTACACACTGTTCAACCAAAGGGAAGATAAGAGCTGGCTTGATGTGCCAGGAAGCATCAGCCAAGAGGAAAATATGACCCTTGCTCCATAGATGGATGGTAGCTTTGGGGCCAATGTCCAAGTGGCACACAGAAGCTCAGGTCACCTGATCTAGCACATGGAATTACACGTTTAGCTTTCAGGGCACATCTTGATTGGCCTGGAAAGATGTTTCCTCCACCCCAATGTACAGCAATGGGAAAATGGTCAAGTAGGAGACTTGCCTGTGGATTGGAACTCTGATCAGATAAGCAGGAATTCAGTGCTGGCAGAGGATGTGTTCTACCAGCTCAATATAGCCATGCTGAAACACACCTTGTACTGTGCTGCTCCTCTCCTGCCTCTGCTCCTCAGACATGTGTGCACACACTCTCCCCTCAGGCAAAACATCCCTCAAATCATGTATCAGAACTCTATCCTCTGTCCCCTCTTCAGAAACAGCAGCATTCAAACTACAGAAATATTCTATATGGAGGACACCACATTTTTTCCCACCCATAGCTCCTCCCAAATCAGTGCTTCTGCCTACATTCTCCCCTTGTTAGTCGTGGCTCCTTCACTCATTTTAGCTATAAGCCTTTTGGAGTCATCAATCTGTTTCCCTATATTCTTTGCTCCCTCCTCTAATTCATTTGACTAGTTCCTGTACTTCCTCCCCCTCCACACACACCTGCAGAGAAGTATTTTTAGGTTTTAGGACACATTCACATCCCTCCTGTCAGTCAACAACAGGAACAGCAGTGAAACAGAGATGCCTGTGGAAAGAGACAGATGACTGTTCCTTTGATCTGCAATTTCCAGCTCAGAGGTCTCTTGGACCAGATATAGCTTCCACGGAATCAAGCTTTCCTTTGCCAAATCTCTGCTTAAATCCACACACGTCATTGTTATTATAATCTAACACGGAATCATGGAATGGTTTGGGTTGGAAGGGACCTTAAAGATCATCTCATTCCAACCCCCTGCCATGGAGGGGGATATGTTCCGCAGACTTCATTGCTCAAAGCTCCATTACCTTCCGTAAATTTGAGGTATTTCCAGGCAACTATAACTACCTCATAGCTCCTGAGCAATAAGTTCTCCCAGATTCTACCTGGCAGCTGATAAGTGTTGATTTTCACCATGTGGCTTCCTTGACAGCTCTGCAATTTTCCAGCCCAGTCAGTCTGCCCAGCTCCTTTCACAATCCTCCTAGCAGAAAAAAAAAATCACCTTATCTATCTTAAATAAAACTGCCATATTTGCAATGCCACTGAACCTCTCACCTCTTTTTTCCTGGTTCATTTGCAACATGCCGAGCAGCTCTGATCCATCTCTGCTAGGAAAAACAATCAGCTGTTCCTATCCACAATTCTTGTAATTTTACTAATTATTTTACCCAGGGAGGGACCTTCCCCTTCGACCCCACTACTTGATAAGGAAATCTGTTGAAAGATGCTTGGAAATCATGACAGTTCCCAGATCACCCTATTTTATACTTCCTTATCCTTCCCAACAGCTCCAAGAGTCAATTTTTCCCTTCAAAGGGCCTTACTGACACTACTTAGGTGCATCATATTTATCAAGGTGGTATTTCAGCTGTTTCCTTCAAGTTCTTTGTGCACTCTTGGGGGAATGCCACCCAAGATACTCCCCCAAGAGTATCTTGGCACATTTTCATGTCACCCCAGCTGTGCAGTGGTCTGTGTTTTAGAGTTTGCTAAGCAAGAAGTTAGTAATGTAAATATGCTGCTAAAGTCTCCAAAACAAGCATTACATAGGCATTATTCACTCCCCGGAGAGTGGATTTCACGTCCCACCCCCAAAAGAAATTTCCTAAATGCTAAAGCAAAAAGAAATGAACATTCTGGCTATCGGCACTGGCCCTGAGCAAGGTTTGGCTTTGCTTCCCAGCTGATGCTAGCAAGTAAATGACCAAAAGTATGGTGAATATCTTAGTTAAAAAACCAGCAAGACATGCTTCCAAAGTAGGAAACAATTTATAGAGCATATACACAAGGAGAAGTTTTTGAGAGCAAGGAAAGAAAAGCTCCTGAAGACAAAAGGAATAACCAAGGTGTTCATTCTGACTCTAACTTGAGTTTTTACTTCACCTGCTTTAGTCTCACGAAATCCTCAAGTTAACAGGCCAAGCAGCCTTGAAGGCAAAACAAACCTCTCCCACTCACACTATCCTACTAGATTACTTTAATGAGGATTAAAACTGTTTCCTTATAGAACACAATCCTGAGTTTTCAATAGCCTCTTGAACACAGTGTGTTTGGTCTCACCAGTGCTGGCTATCTGATTTCCCAGACTGCCCAAACACTCCCTGTCTCTGAGGTCGTGCCTCCAGTTCAGACATGGTCTTGTATCATCTAACAGCAACAATAAAAGTTGCCATCAAGGTTAAACCAGCAATATTTTTAATCAGGGGGAAAGCGATGAAAGATTTGACTCTTCATCTGCATAGGCAAAGGTTACCACTGTCCCTACACTTCTGATAAAGACAGGAGTACACAGAACAAGCAACATAACACTGATAAACTCCCAACACTAGCACAGGCTAATAAAATATTAAATGGAAGGTCTGACGTCTCCACACTCAATCAACTCATGACTCAGCGTCACGTTGGAAGCATCAAAGTTCTCAGCATCTACTCTGGCAACTGCTAATATTTCAATTCATTCTTTTCCTCTCTCTTATTTAGTAGTACATGGCTTGGAAAAGCACAGTGAATAAATTTCATTTCCAGCTTGGAAGGAAGAGTATAAAATCTGCCATGAAATATTAAGAGCTTGTCTGGAAGTGATTGCTGACCACTGGCTTCATATTCATTTCATGGGGCACTTCCCAGCAGGCAGAAGTGGCTGTCAGTAGGCAGAGCACAAACAGGGATCATTGAAGAGGTGTGTCAGCTTCAGCTACTGAACTGCCCACACTGGAACCCTCTAAGTAAATCTGACCACAGCTGAATGAGAAGATACTGAACAACTCATCAAAGCAACCCCAAAAGCTAAGTCTCCCTATGGAATCAAAAGGCCTCCTGGAGAAGCACAGATGTGGGATTTATCATTCAGGCAAATTCTAGTTAGAATCATAGAATGGTTTGGGTTGGAAGGACCTTAAAGATCATCTCAGTCCCCCCCCTGCCATGGGCAGGGACACCTTCCACTAGCCCAGGTTGCTCCAAGCCCCATCCAATCTGGCCTGGAACACTCCCAGGGTTGGGGCAGCCACAGCTGCTCTGGGCAGCCTATGCCAGTGCCTCACCACCCTCACAGGAAAGAACTTCTTCCTAATACCTAATCTAAATCTACCCTCTTTCAGTCTAAATGA